ATAGATAGATAGATAGATAGATAGATAGATAGATAGATAGATAGATATACATATATATTTTTTTTACAAACGACACTGTTAATTTAAAGTGGTGGATGAAATACGAGCTCTGACAGTTGGAGTGAGTCGAGGGAAGAGAGACAGGAATAAAAGGCTTTAGTCCTCCATTTCCAGTCATCCAGGTGGCTTTAGAGATTAGACGACTATCGTTCTGCCTGCCAAAGACCACCAGACTGTGAGTCAGGACATTGTCTGTGTGAAAAGAATTTCAGTTTGTTTGCGTGTGTGAGTAAATGCCAGAAGAAACTTTATTTATGTCCACCTCAAAAACCACGGTGGAAGGTAGAATACAGCAGCTGATTAGAAAACCATGAATTCTCAATGACCATAAAGTAGAACAATGCAAAATACAAAGCAGAGCCACAGCAGCGATTCAAATAGTTTTTAAAAGCTTTTGAAAGTGAGGCATTGACTCTGATGACCTGAGGAGGTGGCAGCTCCACACTACACCGGCTAAAACAACAAATGCAGCGGCTTGTTTTGAGCATCGCCGTAGAGTATTCAATAGCTCGTGGCTCACAAATACAAATATCGTTAATGGAGTTTGAGGATCAGAAATATATTGAACTAAGTGGAAAAATTCCATTTAAGAGAAACAAGGACTCAGACGAGTGCCTTGGTGTTATTTCTTGTCTTTTCAACATCAGTTCTAGTTTTTTAGGGACAGTTGATTTGGCAATTGCTTATGAATAGAAATATTTTTCCTGCCTGGATTTTGTTGGGTCGTAACTGTGTGTCACCTGTAAACTGTCATGGCCCAAGTGAAGTTAACGAGGCTTGTGAAGAGACTGAGGGGATTCAAGAGGCAATTATTAAAAGGATAAACAGGCTGCTGCTTATTGATCATGTTTGTTTTAGATCATATTTTTTAATCAGATGCTGCAAGTGCTTCATAACAGAATTGCCTTTGAATAGAAGATCAAGAGCAGGTGCAGAGGGATGAAAAAGTCCAAATTTGAAGGTTGAGTCTTATTAATCATGGTCCTAAATATCAAGAAGGACAGTCCAGATTAGGATTGAACACAGATGTTCTGCTATGTGACCATTTCACTTTTTGCCCCAAATGAAACAAGATCTAAAACAGAGCCCTGAAGCATCCCGCAGGCATGTTTACAGCCCGAAGAAGAGAAGAAGCACCTGCACTGCCTGAAGACATACATTAAGAGTTGTATGTTGTAGCGCCAAGACTCTTCAGTGAGATCCAGTGAGGTCGGCACAAAGAGTTTATACCTTTAACAAGAGCAGTGACAGATCGGCTGATGGAGCAAAAGCACGAACCACAGACATAGTTAGAGAGTGAGATGAAGGCTTCTGCCAGCAGAGTTGTCCGAGGGGTCATCCTAACACGATGGGGATCGATACTGCTGTCACCTTCTTTTCTTCTTCGCAGACAGACTTCGGCAGCGTGTAGCTGTCAGAGAATCTTACCTGGCTTTGTTTGAATCCCTCGTTAGCGATGAGAGTCTCCTGTGAGGAAATTTAGCGAGTAGTCCAAGCTTTTCTCACGAACTGTGCAACGTAAGTGCAGAGCACTTGGGAAACGCACGAAAATCGGAAGTTTGAGCTCTTGTGGGAAAATTCCTCACAGTTGACACCCCATTGGCTGATTTTGGTTACTTAACGTCAGTTTGATTTGTTTGCTGTTAACCTCGTGAATGTTGCCGCTGTAGCTTTTCTCCTAGGCCTGCTCATTCTTTGTTAATTTTAACCAATGTTGGATAGGACAGTCAAGTTTAAATGACTGTGAAATGAAAATAATAAAACTACTGGTTATAATAAAGTGGTAATAAAGCTAAACAGAATGATCTTCTGAATTTATAAACTTAATTAAATTTAGCTCTTCACATCCGTTCTCATGTGTTCCTGGTTGGAAATAACATTATTGTGATGTATCTCCTTCAGCAAACAAACAGGTAAAAATAAAGCTGTTACAGAACTGTTGAATGAATGCTAAAAAAAAAAGCAGGTATGTTTTTTTTGAGAAAAAAAACAAACATCACTTTAAATCTGACCGGCTTCAAATCATTATCTCAGTGGTGTAGTCGTGCATAGCTGGACTGTTGGCCTTTCAGTCCAAAAAGGTTTTTTGGCATTGGCTTAAAATAAAAAAAACACCCACTTCGTGGGAAAAAAGCCTCCCGTTGAATGCAGAGTAAATGACTCTTAATTGCTGTATGATTGCACCAGAAATATGAGCGTGTAGCCACGTCTCTTTTTTCCATAAAACTGTCTGTGAGACATGCTCCAGAAGAACAATCTGCTGCCCTTTTTGTCCAAAGCTTTCCAGGTGGCTGCTGATCCACATGAAAGATACATGAATTGATGTATTAGAATGAAAGGTTTCTTTACCCTACAGGCTCTGTGGCAGGCAGCCAGCGTCAGAAACAGACGAAAAGTGAGGGAAGGGAACATATTTATTCTCACATCTGCTGTCTGTTTATTGTCCTCTGGTTCGGCTTTGTAACCTCCCTCCTACTGCATTGCCCAAAGCCTCATGTTTCCCCTCATTCTTAATTATGATCTCCGATCATTTTCATATCCCTGCTCACATTGTGTCCTCCCTCTTACCCCTCACTAAATTCCCATATCTTATCTGTTGTTTCTCTACTATCCCATCTTTCACTCTGATGTTTGCACCTTTGGATTTTCTGCAGGCATCTCTATTCTCCCCGATGATTTCCATCAGAATTAATATTACATAATGGCTCATGGTAAATTGTTCATCTGAAACTGATGGGCCTGCATAATTTAACATTTGTGTGAGAAATCCTGATTATGTCATCCTTTAAACTTAAAAGAAAAGAAAAGGAAGAAAAGTATGTATTGCCAACAGCAGATGTCACTTTAAGTGTCGTTAACAAAATGTAGTTAATTGATCACAAAAACAAGTCAAAATACAAAATCCAAGAACGCAAAATGGTTGCAAGAATTACACAAGAGGGACCGTGTTAATCAAATTAGTCTGGGAACTAAACACAGTCGGGAAACTTGGATGTGCACCGTTGAAAACACCTAGTGTCTAGCCAGACCCCTTTAGCCATTACAGAGCTGCTTAGTGTAGCTAATCCTGTTAGCTGCCCTCCAGCAAGTCCTGAGCAACCGGGACACAGGCCTGGCTGGGTGACAATGAGGAGGAGGCATAGCCCTAAAACCAATGTCATCATTCCCTACCAACCTGTCCATGTTTCAAATAAACTTCCCCGGCTCAATGACACACCCACCAACGAAAAATATATTCATATTCATGTTCATTTATGAAGAATTTAGGAAGCCCAAATACTTACTTTAATTCTAAGAGAAGATATGAAATTCAGTGAGTGAGAATTTGTGCTAATAGGAGAAACATGGAAACTGTTTGAGCTATTAGCAACCACACTGTCCCCCGACCACCAAAAGAGAGCCAAGGAGAGATGAAATGGAGCTTTAAAGATGAAAACCACAGAAGAGTGGCGAAGAGAAACAAAAAGCTGGGAAGTAGGTGCAGTTATTCAGCATCAGAATGGTGAGTTAATGAGACATAAAGTGTAGAAGCTGAAATGAGAGCAGAAAAGCAACTGGAAAATAAAGGAAGGAGGGAAAAAAGAGAGCATAATTATCATTAATCCCACAGAACG